TTAAAAAATTAATTTGATATTCATATAAACAATTAATTTAATGTTTCTTTCACAAGCTTACCTACAATAAATTATATACACGTGACACTCAAAAAAATAAAAACATTTTTGGCACATTTTGTATTTTAATTTCAGATATAAAATTTGTAATACTTCAAGAAGAGTTTTTTAACATAAAATTAATGTGAATTTGTTGAATTTAACTCCTTTTATATTGCTATGTAGAAACAGTAGATTGTTGCAGCAATAAGTGTGTAAATATATTTTGCGCTAGTAAAATATAGCACAGTGAAGTAGAATGTGATAAAATACAGTATAAAAACTATATCACTGACAAGAAACTAATGCAGAAAACAAGCAGAACACTTAATTATCTTTTCTAACAACCAAGTATACAATTTCCAGATAATTCAATACTGATTTCAGCATTTTATTAGAAGAATACATGTCGACAGAATATAAATGTTAGTAGGTGTGCCGCTATTTTTATTTAATATTATGCATCTTATAACACGTGATGTTGGTACAATGAACAAAGTACCAGGGCCATGGCAATTTTTTTTTTTATCGGTTAGGTGTTACGAAATCATGGTCACAATCATTTTTATAATTTCATCGAGAAAATGACGTACATGGAAATATACTATTGCAAGAAAGGTTCGAAAACAGCTTTTAAGCAATATGTCGGAGACGGGAAAAAATTTGATAAACAACGAAAGAGCGAAATCGTTCCACCACAAAAACGGATGAACTTTACACACCAAAGCGTTCTACTCTTGAAAATGTTAGTTTACCTATTCTGTCGAGATAACTTGGTGGGTTTTACTTGTAAAACTTGGTTGGCAGCCTGGTATTCACCTCACACAAGAGTACATGTTATTTAACGAATGCCCAAGGTAGTCGCTCCATATTTTTCGTTGAATTTGTCATAATTCGTCTCTTCACGGCACAACACTACTTTTTTGACTGACACGAAACGACCCACTGGCACAACACCACACCGCAATAGTTTTTCCTTCGCAAGTGAAACAATGGACAATCTGGCAACGTCGTGAACTCGGAAGTGACGACAGAGATGGCTCAGTATAACCACTAATTCAAATAGGCTAAATCTATGGCTATCCGAAAACTATCGTTCTTACAATTATTATTACAAATGCATACATTTAGTAATGAAATTAGTAATTGTACTTCTTAATGAGTTAATAATGTTTCATGTGATGGAAATATGTAAATATTAGCATTGAAATAATATTACAGACAATTTCGAGTAGTTACTTCCTGTCCGCCATACTGCGATAAATACAATAAAATAAACGATAGATTATTAAGTAAAAATAATTCTCTGTTTTACTTTTCTTTTTACCTATATTTCTTTACGGTACATTTCAAATAGCAATTTAAAAATTTGTTTATTATTTTTTGAATTTTCTGTGTAAATTTCAAATATTAATTATTCTATCATGTATATTATAAATTACTGCCACTAAATTTATTTTTAACTACTTTTATTTCTAAATGCTAATCCCATATTATTTAACGTTGCTCTTTAATAAAGACGTTTTATACAAAATTCCTAGAACGTAGTTTTCAATAAGCATTCATATTCATGTAACGTTATTTCTAAATATACGCCTTAAGTTGATAAATATTGATTGAAATTGTAAAACAATTTCATTGTTTGTGAAATTTAAGGCGTTTCTTTCATGTTAATTTAAAAATGTTTGTCTATTACCATCTATCTGTGAAATAAAATAGTATGTTTCTTTCAGCCACTTTCTATCAGATTGTTACGCTTAAATGCAACAATGTGCATGCGTCAATTTTCAACGGTACACTTTCGAGAACAATGACTACGTAAAACACGGTAGCTAAAGCTACGAAGGGTGAGCGAAAACCTTAAATTCAACGATACTTTGAAACTGTTACTTCTCCAGTGCAACATAATTGTAGATGCGTAAAAAAATTTTTAAACGTCGAATTATCACATCTATTCAGAAATTATTGTTCGACATTTTCCACAGACGAGTACAAATGTAAAAAGGATTTTAACACATTTAATCGGAAGAAGGGTAATAGTGAGCAACAGGAAAGCTCTCGTTAAAAAAAATGTTCGCATTGACCACGGGGGGGACTACGATAAGAGATGTGACGCATTAAAAGAGGAAACTGTACTTATTGCAGGATGATGCGTCGGTATTACGACTACCTATTTTCTCTTAACAGTACACAATAAAAACATACATTCGTACGAAGTA